AGCCCTCGTGTAGCTTTGCGCGAAATTCAAACAAACATATCCTTCATCTTGTTGGGGAGAAGATTGATATTTTGCCAATGAAGCTGTGATATAAAAGGTATATGTCGTACTCCAAAAGAAATATCATACTTTATCCTGCTGTAAACTGCAGCGATGACCTATATCCATGAGTAAAGTAAATCCTCTACAATGAACAGTCGGAAGTTGCCCTATTGGGCTGTAAAGTAAGTAGCTGGGGAGTTAAACTACCTTCAAAAGGAGCCGTTCTCAAGGAAGGGGTGGGGTCGTCGGTGAGATGAGATCAAAGGGTGTGAGGGTATGCATTGAGACCGGGACGTCACGTGACATAATACTTCCTAGCGGGGTGCCAGAGGGCGGTTAGTTACTTCATGTTAGTCTGCGTTCTTGTTTCAACTTAACCTGCTACATTCTGTTAGTCAGAATTGTAGTTCCAAGACTACATTTTCCAGTATGTTCTGTGAGTGAAACGAATCAGTATTAGTTTTTGTTTGTTATAATATTTATCGCAGATATTTTGAATACATACATATTTGAAGTTTGTTTTATGAATGTTTTATTTTATAACAAATAGGTTCCACCGTAAAATTGCGAAGTTTGTCACTTTGAGATGCATGGCTTGAATTTCTTATGTCAAAAAAGTTACATTTATCATTATTTTCAGCGATCTAGTGTTTCGTAGTTCAAAGTGAATGTTCTATAGAAAATCACAGAAAGTTGTAAAATGCTATCTATGTTATGGCAAAACATAAGGTGGTAATTGTTGGTATTTATTTCCCCTAGTTTCTATAAGAAAATCTGAAAGGTTTACATGTGAATGGATTTTATCTACGGTAAGTCACGGATTTAGAAAACCGTTTGTGAAAGTATAATATTATATTTAGTTGGAGAAAAATGTTCATATAGAGATTAATAAATTATAGGTAAAATCAGACGTGAGAATGAAAACAGGGTTATATCTAACATGAATTCTGTTGCAGTGTCTATTTTCTGTTTGGACATATTATATTCCTTTCAGTTTATATGATTTAGACGATAACATCTACATTTACATGAACATTTTACGCATAAAGCCACACGAAGCAGTCCTTCTTAGGTCTACGTAGATTGTGAATTAAATTATTGTGCGTAAATTACATAAATTAAGTATTAATTTTATGTACTAAAAATGAAAACTGGGTTAGATATGGTATGATAAATTTAATACAGCTTTACTGTTTATTTGCAGTTAGGACATATTACATTATTTTTAGTGCATATTTGTTTCAGGCGATAATATTTAGAGTTTAAACATTTTACGTATCAAGTGACACAAAACAGTCCTTTTTGAGAATTACGTGGATTATAAATTAGAATGGTGAATGGATATAAGTATGATGCATACGATATATATCTGGAGTTTAATGTTTTATTTTAATAATGAAACAATCCTCTATACAGATTGTGAGTTAAACTAGTATATGAATATTCATTGTTTGTTTGTTATCAAACACAAAGCTACACAGGTGTCAAAAACCAGTTTTTAGGTTGACAATCCCTACGACTGAGATATTAGGATGCAGGAATGTTCTTGAATTAAGCTATGTAAATACTGAAACTGAAAATATCAATTTTATGTATTTAAAAATCTTCTGTATATCATTGTTGTTATTGAAATGAAACTATAGTTCTGGTTCTAACGATAATACAGAAACTAATATCGTGTTAATAACTGTAATAGTAATCTTGTTTCTACAAGATTATCGATGAGGGGAGATCAAAGGATGCAGATTCAGGGAGGGTATCCATTGAGAAGTCCCCGTGAGACGACTTCTTTTGACGGATGTTAGTTCCGAACTAGTTGTATTAGTCCTAATAGAGAGCTGGAAACTAGATGGCCTCCAATACGTTTTTGTTTGTGACAGGGTTGGAAGGTGTATACGTAAATATAACTATTATTCTAAGCTATCTCCAACATATTAAGAAATAGAAATCTTCTTTGGTTAATGTTTTTTGTCATCGACCAAGCTAGGTTGATGAGTGTTGACACTTCAGTTCCAGTTGGTCGTGAATTTTTTAACCAATGTTCGCAAATTTGTTTTATATTACATTTTTATTCTATTATTAAAACTAGAAAATATCGTGTAACACTTAGCCGTAAAAGTCGTTTCGCTAGGAAATGTTTTTATAAAAAGTAAAGAATACTTTCCTTACCTCCTGCAACTTGACAAGTTAGTTCTAAAGAGTCCCCTTCGTTAACCGGTCCAATCAAACCTTTGAGTTTTTGGCCTTGACTATCTGTTATTACTGGTTCTCCAGATGGAACTGGAAAAAAGAAAGAATTTGATTGAAAAACCACATCTCTTCTGCAAAATAAATTTTCCTATTATTAATTCTACGCTTGCAGACATCCTGGCTGTTGAAGGAGAAAGTTTAAACAAACCATATACAGCTGTGTCACAATATAATACAGAAATCACGAACTGAAAGTAATAGAAATAAAGAGTTAACTCAAATGGCCCCACAATACTGCGACTGGTTTTCTGATTCAACTTTGTTATTTGCGCTATTAAGTCACAAGGATCAAATTCAGAAGATAATCTCACACTTCTCAATGAGGAGATTTCTATCTTGAAGTTACTCAGGAGTATCCTTTGTAGAAGCGATCTAATGGTGAAATAGACATGTAGATTTTCTTAACTGTGAAATCTTTACGTCTTCATTTCGTAAATTGCAAACAGCAACTGTACCAACTTGAATACTTAGTGTTCTGTCTCTATGGGTCAACCATTGGATCTTAACTTCTATGGTAAATTACCTTTACGTTCTCTTTCTCAGGTGGTTTAAAAGTAACTTGCTTCATCAAATAATAAAGTTATTGAAATATAATCTAGATTGGTCAGTTATACTCCTTTTGGGATGTTTTCGATGCGTTTATAAATCCAAGCCAATGTAAGTTTGAATGTTCCAATTTGTAAAGTGAGTCTATTTTACCTTATTTCTTGGACATTTAAGTTGCTTTAATACCAGATAAAGTCCCTGTAGTTGGTTTACTAATAAACTGTTTGTTATCAGTATAATTTTTAGCACTATAATTTTAATAGTATAGAGTGACGCGGTTCATCATTGATTTAGTTATAACTTATTTTTAATGTTCAACAAAACGGAATAAATTCTGGTGCTTCTAATTATTCGAGTATAGAAAGTAGGGAGTTGTTTGTTTAGTTCAGATATTCTCACCTAGCTAAATAAAAATTAGCTGCTTTAGACGTCCCTAAGGTTGAACTGACTGACTAGAGGGAAGGCACCTTATGAGCAGCACCTATCGCCAACTTTTGGGATACTCTAATCGAATAGTGGGATTTGGCCATCAGTCTTATAACGCATTTACAACCTCAAAGTGTGAAAGGCATTTTTTCTTTGTGGCAACAGGACGTGAACCGTAGATCCTCGGTTATCCAATCCAGCACGTTAACTACTATATCATGCTTGGCCTAAGGTAAAAAGGTTCATTCTATAAAACAAACTGAACCATGGAACTCGATCATCTTAATTACTTACAGTAATCACTAACAAGACAGTTGTCACGTGTTAGAAGAAACGTTCAAAAGACTAAATTAAGTCAAGCAAATAAATAAATTAAAATAATAACTTTACAATCTTGAGATAAAAGGGTGAGTACACTTAGCTCGTTGAGGACTGACTGCAGACTTGCAATGATAATTCACTTTCACATTATTAGAGGCGTCTTATCCTCGGTTCTTCTCATAGTAGTACAGTTTAAAACTACATTCATTACTACTAGTCGAGATGAGAACTGCAGGAAGCTTATTAGAAGGAAACATTGGTCACATAGCAACAGGAAAATTATTCGGAAGTAGACAATAGG